AGTCATAAGTGTGAGAAATGATCTGAAGTAGGGGGCTTTTTCAGGGAGGTTGTAACATTGGACAGTCACTAATTGAACCGTTGTAGGTTGATGACTGCCTGTATCCTAATGGGGACGACTGAATCTGTTCGAGCCAGGCACGGATGGCGGAAATGTTTCCAGAAGGATGCACGTATGTCGCTGTGATGTCGACATTGCTATCAGATTTCTGCAACCTGAAAGGCAAAATTGACCCCTTCTGTCACCCCACCCCACCCCCCAGTTTTTCCTTTTTGCATGTCAACAAAGCCACCTGGCAGGGGTGGGTTTCTCGCCCCGTTCCAACCGGTTCGGTTGGAACGAGGCCGGCGGCGTCCTCGCGCACGCACGCGGTGTCCTCGTGCACGCACATGGCGCGCGTGTGCACGCACGTGGCGCGCGCATGCGTANATTTTATGTAAGCCGCCCTGAGTCCCCTCAGGGAAAAGGGTGGCCTATAAGTATTAATAAATAGTAATACTAAATACTAAATAAAGCATTTTTAGCAGTTTCCTGATGGGCTCCTGATTGTTTCTCAGGTCTCCTGGGGTCTCCGCTGGGAAGAGAGGACAGGGAGGTTTGTGGGAGGGGGGGAGCACAGCCAGGTCTGCCGTAGGCAAGGAATCCAGAAAGGGCCAGGAGTTTGAAAGGGGTTTGGAATGCAGTAGGGTTTGCTGCTTGAGCAGGGGTGGGTGGGTTGGACTAGAAGACCTCCAAGGTCTCTTCCAGTTCTATTCTGATCGAGAAAGATGCACTTTGATCTGTTCTCCTTTCTTTACCTGTAGTCCTCAGTAGTACTTGCATTTCAGGAAAGGGAAGGAGGGAGGACACAAGAAGGAAGGAAGGACGAATGGATGGAGGACACGAGGAAGGGAGGGAGGAGAGAGGAAAAGGAAAGAAAAGGAAGGAAATGGTGGAGGTGGATGGAAGGAGGAAGTAAAAAGAAAGGGGGACAGGAGGGAGGGAGGGAACACAGAGAGAAGAAAGAGAAATAAAGGAAACAGGGCAAATGTCGAAAGGTGGAAAGAAATAAAGACATAAAAAGGGAGGGGGGCACAAGGCAGAAGGAAGGAAAGAAGGAAAAAGAAAGTGGGTGGAAGGAAAGAAAGGAAATGGCAGAAGGAAGGAAGAAGGAAAGAGAGAGAAAGGAGGGAAATGGCAGAGGTGGAAGGAGGGAGGTCACAAGACGGAAGGAAGGAGAAAGGAGATGGGAGGGACGGAGGAGAGAGAAAAAGTAAAGGAAGGGAATGGCAGAGGTGGATGGAAGGAAGGAGGGAGGAAGTAAAAACAAGGGATAGGCGTGAGGAAGGAGGAAAGACAGAAAGGAAAGAGGGAAGGAGTGAAAGGAAGGAAATAGGGCAGAGATGGGAGGGAAAGGAAGAAAAAAGGGATATTGAAGGGATGGAGGGAGGAAAAAGAATGGGGATAGGAAGGAGGGAGGAAAAAGAAAAGAGATAAAGAGAAAGGAAGGAAGTGGCAGAGGTGGAAAGGAAGGAAGGAAGGGTTGGGGGAGATGTGTGTGGCTTTGGAGGGGGTCATCCAGAAGCTACTTCAAGTCCCACCCCCTTGCTACCATTTGACCATTCCGCCAGACGCTGCGCCTGTAGAAGGCAACCTCCTTGAAGGGCAGGTGCCAAGGACTGGTTGTGTGGCGAACATCCCCTTTGCCAACCAGCGGCAGATCCCATTCAACCATCTTGAGTAACCGGGGTGGCTGCAGGCAGAGCCTGGCTATCCTTAAACTTGGTTTAATAGGTAGTCCTCGACTTACGACCACAATGGAGCCCCCCAAATTGATGTTACTAAGCGAGTCAGGTGCTCAGTGGGCTTTGCCCCATGTGATGGCCTTGCTGGCCAAAGTCATTAAGTGAATCACTACAGTTGTGAAGTGAATCTGGCTTCCCCCCTTGACTTTGTTCATCAGATGGTCGCAAAAGGGAATCACGTGACCCTCCTGGGAAGATTGCGACCATCATAAATATCAGCTGGTTGCCAAGTGTCTGAATTTGGATCATCTGACCAGGGGGCATGCTGCAACGGTCATAAGTGTGAGAAATGGTCTGAAGTGGGGGGCTTTTTCAGGGACGTTGTAACTTTGGACAGTCACTAATTGAACCGTCGTAGGTCGAGGACTGCCTGTATCCTAATGGGGGAGACTGAATCTGTTCGTGCCAGGCATGGATGGTGGAAATGGTTCCAGAAGGATGTACGGATGTCGCTGTGACATTGACAATCGCTATCAGATTTCCGAAACCTGAAAGACAAAACTGACCCCTTCTGTCACACACCCCCCCCCACCAAAAAAATCCTCCACTAATTGCCTCTGAATAACAATTTTTAATACAACAGGACAAAATTATTTCATACATTTGGAATAATCAGTGTATCAGCATTAGGGGTTAGTGACAATTTTTTCTTTTGGCTGCGTGGGAATTTGGCGACCGCAACGGCACGCGCTTTCAAGGGACCCTCCAAAGTTTTGCTTGTCTTCTTGCCCCTCCTTTCTGCATGTCAACAAGAGCCGAGGTGGCGCAGTGGTTAAATGCAGCACTGCAGGCTACTTCAGCTGACTGCAGTTCTGCAGTTCCGCTGTTCAAATCTCACCGGCTCAAGGTTGACTCANGGTCATTCAACCAAACCTTACTACCCCTCTGGATGGGTTGTTTTCTTGCTGACGTTTCGTGACCCAACTAGGTAACGTCACCAGCGCTAGAAGGGTTTACGTGGTGTAAATAGACCGCAAACACCTTCTAGGGCCGATGATGTTACCTAGCTTGGTAATGTGACGTTGGTAAGAAAACCACCAAGCTCAGAAAGCACCAAAAAAAACCAGGATTTTTAAGAGACTGGACAACTACTTGTCTGAAATATAGAGTCTCCTGCTTAAGTAGGGGTTGGACTAGATGACCTCCAAGGTACCTTCCAACTCTGTGATTCTGTCATTCTGTAAATGTCTCCTGCTCAAGAGGGGTGGACTAGATGATCTCTGAGGTCTCTTCCACCTCCAAGTTTCCAAAGGGACCTTGGAGGTCATCTAGTTCAACCCCCCCGTTCAAACAGGAGACCCTTAATCACTTTAAGGGTCTCCTGTTTGAGCAGGGGGTTGAACTAGATGACTTCCAAGGTCCCTTCTGACTCTGTGATGATGACCTTCTGAAAGAATCTCCTGCTTGAGCAGGGGGTTGGACTAGATGTCCTCTGAGGTCCCTTTCCCCTAATATATTCTTCTTCTGTTTGTTGTGGCTGGATCTGCTCTCTGCCAAGGGACAGGCTGGTCCCTTTTCTTGCACCCCCGTTTTCGAGAATGGCATCTGACACCCCTTTGAAAGTGGATCTGAGATCAACCAGCCTCAGGGAACACACCATGCAATTCTCCCAAGCAGCCATCAACAGATTTGGATGCTCAACCTGCCCTTTTGTTTCAGGGTGAATCTTTCTTTCCTTGTCCTGTTTGCAAACCCCGACTCTCTTCTAGTCCTGATGACGTTCCCTAGTTGGATCATAAAAGGTCTTCAAGAAAACCACCCAGCTCAGAGAGCACCAGGGACCCTGCAGACCTCCTCCTCCTCCTCCTCCTCAATGTTCTGGTTATTACAGCAGATTCGAAATGTGGTTCTTTGGTCAGAATCCAGCCTGCTGGACCCAGAAGAAGCCTACNCCTTACTACCCCTCTGGATGGGTTGTTTTCTTGCCGATGTTTCGTGACCCAACTAGGTAACGTCACCAGCACTAGAAGGGTTTACGTCAGTGGTAGTCAACCTGGTCCCTGCCGCCCACTAGTGGGCATTCCAACTTTCATGGTGGGCGGTAGGGGTTTTGTCCGATACTGAAGTATTTTCCTTTTTTCTAATTTAATTGACTTTTTTTAAAAAATGTCATAGCATTATTTAAAAACATTTTCATTAGGTTTTCATAAAATCACCATTACTTGGAACAGGTGGGCGGTTAAATTTTTTTACTACTAACAGAGATACAAAAGTGGGTGGTAGGTATAAAAAGGTTGACTATCCCTGGTTTATGTGGTATAAATAGACCGCAAACATGTTCTAGGGCCGATGCTGTTACCTAACCTGGTAATGTGACGTTAGTAAGAAAACCACCAAGCTTAGAAAGCACCAACTCCCCCCCCCCCAGGATTTTTAAGGAGACCGGACAACTTGTCTGAAATATAGGGTCTCTTGCTTAAGTAGGGGTTGGACTAGATGACCTCCAAGGTACCTTCCAACTCAGCGATTCTGTCATTCTGTAAAGGTCTCCTGCTCAAGCAGGGTGGACTAGATGATCTCTGAGGTCCCTTCCACCTCCAAGTTTCCAAAGGGACCTTGGAGGTCATCTAGTTCAACCCCCCTGTTCAAGCAGGACACCCTTAATCACTTTAAGGGTCTCCCGTTTGAGCAGGGGGTTGAACTAGATGACTTCCAAGGTCCCTTCTGACTCTGTGATGATGACCTTCTGAAAGAATCTCCTGCTTGAGCAGGGGGTTCGACTAGAAGACCTCCGAGGTCCCTTCCCCCTTATTATTCTTCCGTTTGTTGTGGCTGGATCTCCTCCCTGCCAAGGGGCAGGCTGGTCCCTTTTCTTGCACTCCTGTTTTCGAGAACGGCATCTGACACCTCTTTGAAAGTGGATCTAGGATCAACCAGCCTCGGGAAACACACCACACAATTCTCCCAAGAAGCCGCCAACAGATTAGGATGCTCAGCCTGCCCTTTTGTTTCAGGGTCAATCTTTCTTTCCTCCTCCTGTTTGCAAACCCCCACTCTCTTCTAGTCCTGATGACGTTCCCTAGTTGGATCATGAAAGGCCCTCAAGAAAACCACCCAGCTCAGAGAGCACAAGGGACCCTGCAGACCTTCTCCTCCTCCTCTTCAATATTCTGGTTATTGCAGCAGATTCGAAATGTGGTTCTTTGGTCAGAATCCAGCCTGCTGGACCCAGAAGAAGCCTACACGCCAAAACACAAGTTCCTGTATCGGGGTAANAACCTGCAGTGCCCACGCGGTGAGACTGAGCCCGTGGTGCTGCCAGTTATCCGTGGGTGCGAATGTAGCAGCTGCCAAGGTAATCATTCTCCGTTTGGTCCGATGGCCTCCTGCAGCTCTCTGTCAGCAAAAATGGAGCTTGGGGGAGTCCCTGTTGAGGCCCACCAGCCACCAGTAGAGCTGGTGGAAGACTCTGACGAGGAGGACATTGGGGAGAAACTTGGGCGACTTCTGGCATCTGGGGAAGGTTCTGAGGGATGCTTTGCATCAGACACGGAGACAGAGCCAGCCACTGACATTTCCCAGCCACCGGAGAGGCAGCTGCCTTTGTAAGTGGAGATGAGTGAGGAGGAAGAACAGCTGGGGCCTATTCCAGATGTGCGTATGTGCATAGCAGTTAGGAGAGGTGAGCAACGGAGGACAAGGACTCAACTCGGGAAGCAAAAGTACACGTAGACGCTGAATGGGCCCTCCCTGGCTGGGGAATAAATAGAAGGAAAGGGGAGTGGTTGTCGTAGGAGACAACAGTTCGTATTTCTGGAGGTTTTGCTCATTGTGTTTCGTGCATCAAAGACTGCTTGCCCGAACTTAATTTGCAGCCTTTTGGCTGGGAACTGATAAGGTCTGTACTGCAGTTAACTCCTTGCAGGGCTGTTGCCTGGACTTTTCCGAGGAGGAGGGAATGCCATTAATTCACCAGAGGTAAATAAAGAGGGGTTTTTTAGTGTCCTGTCTTTTCATTTCAGGTGGCGACCTCTCCAAGCGTTGACCTCTCCTCTCCTCCACGGATGTAACTTGGGAGTGAAACTGGGGTCCTTCCCCCCACCCCTCACTGCAAATTCTCCTGCCTTATAGTCTTTCTCTTCTTCAGTCTTTAAATAAAGACTGCGTACTTGAGAGACCGCCTCCTGCCAATTACCTCCCTGCAACCAATTAGATCACATAGATTAGGCCTCCTCCGAGTGCCATCTGCCAGTCAGTGCCGACTGGCAACTACNGAATGTAGCAGCTGCCAAGGTAATCATTCTCCGTTAGGTCTGCCTCCTGCAGTCCCCTGCCGGCGAAAACGGAGCTTGGGGATGTGGCATGCAGCCTGCCTGGGCTCCATTTACAGCTGCAATGGCCTCCTGCAGCCCTCTGTCAGTGAAAATGGAGTTTGGGGAGTCCCTGTTGTGGCCCGCCAGCCACAGCAGACTCTGATGAAGAGGTTGGGGAGGAACTTGGGCCAGTTCTGGAGTCTGGAGAAAGCTCTGATGGATGATCCGCGTCAGATGCAGAGATAGAGCCAGGGCAGTCCCACATTTCCCAGCCACTGGAGAGGCAGCTGCCTTTGTAGGTGGAGATGAGTGAGGGGGAAGAACAGCTGGGGTCTGCTCCAGATGTGCATATGTGCAGAGCAGTTATGGGAGGTGAGCAATGGAGGGCAAGGAGTCGACTCGGGAAGCAAAGCACACATGGATGCTGAATGGCCCCTCCCTGGCTGGGGAATAAATAGAAGGAAAGGGGGTTGGTTGTTGTAGGAGACAACATTTTGTATTTCTGGAGATTTTGCTCATTGTGTTTCGTGCAAATTAAGTTGCCAGAACTTAATTTGCAGCCTTTTGGCTGGGAGCTCGTGGCAAGGAACTGATAAGGTCTCTACTGCAGTTAACTCCTTGCAGGACTCTTGCCTGGACTTTTTCCGTGGGTGAATGCCATTAATTCACAAGAGGTAAATAAAGAGGGGTTTCTTGTGTCCTGTCTTTTCATTTCAGGTGGCAACCTCTCCAAGCGTTTACCTCTTCTCTCCTCCACGGATCTAACTTGGGGTGCAACGGGGGTCGCCCCCTGCAAATTCTCCAGCCTTGCACAGTCTTTCTCTTCTTCACCAGTCAATAAACCATTTTCAGCAGTTTCCTGATGGGCTCCTGGTTCTTTCTCGCATCTCCCAGAGTCTTCGCTGGAAAGGGAGGAGCGGGAGGGTTTTTCTTTTTTTTGGGGGGGGGGGGGACACAGATCTAACATAGGCAAGGAACTCAGGAATTCAGAAAGGGCCAGGAGTTTGAAAGGGGTTTGGAATGCAATAGGGTTTGCTGCTTGAGCAGGGGGTTGAACCAGAAGACCTCTGATGTCTCTTCCAGTTCTATTCTGATTGATTGAGAAAGGGCCTCCTCTGTCTACAAGGAGAGGAAGGGGGTTATTACAAACAGATGCACTCTGATCTGTTGCCCTTTCTTTACCAGTGTCCTCAGTAGTACTTGCATTTCAGAGAAGGGAAAGTGGGAGGCAGGACACAAGGAAGAAGGAAGGATGGAGGGAGGGAGGACACAAGGAAGAAGGGAGGGAGAGCGGAAGAGGGGATGGGAGGGAGGGAGAAGAGAGGAAAAAGAAAAAAAGGAAGGAAACAGTGGAGGTGTCAGCGTTCCAAGTATCATGTAGAATTAAATCAGAGTCCAAGGCAAAA